AATTGTGAAATATTATTACAATTTTAAATAACAGTTCTCTATTTGAATACATTTTAACGTTTATTTTATTTCTGTGATCAAAGCTGAATTTTCAGCATCATTACTCCAGTCTTCAGTGTCACATGATCCTTCAGAAATCATTCCGATATGCTGATTTGCTGCTCATTTCTTATAATTAAACTGATATTAATATTCGTAGTATTGTCACTGATATGAACCTTTTTGTGCAAAGTATAATAGGGTTCTTTGATGAATACAACTAAATGTACCATTGCACAAAAAAAGCAAATATTTCTTTAAAAAAACCCGTAATAAATCAGTAGAATGGGAAAAAACGCACAGCCCTAAATCGTTCTGAGATGATCAGTAAAAGCTGGCTGTCCCATTTCAAATACTTACACATAATCCCATCCACTCTTCTTCTGTCCAAGATCTTTTTCCCATCAGGGACTTTTCCCCTCTTCCCAAAAGCGACGGCGCCGTTAAGATCCTCCTCGCTGAAGAAGTGCTCGAACAGCAGGTGGAAGAGTCTCATGCTGTCCTGCCGGGACTCCTGCAGCATGGACGCCAGTTTGTAGTGCGGCAGGTAGAGCCCGCTCCCCGGAAACAGCTCCTGCTCTCCCAGTCGAGCCGGACTAGACAGAGGCATCTGCGACCGCTCGTGAAAGACCAGGATTCGATCAATGACCGTCTGCAGGTTTTGTAGGGTTATCGTATCTGCATAAATCATGAGACATACATTAAAAAGAGTTCCCCTGCTGATATAACTAACAGTGCATCGATCGCAATTGCGACAAACTGACATAGTTGAGATTCTTCGAGATTTGTATCGGACTGCTAGCTCACCTATGCTTGTTATAAACTCTTCCAGGTGTTTTCTCTCTTCAAAATACCTCTCACTGCTTGGACTGACATCTGACGGGCAGAACTGCTCTTCTGAACTGTGTGCAGCTGGAATCAGATGCTCTGTAATATACATCAAATGAGCGTTTTAGGAGCTTTAATAGAGGATGAACTCTTCCGTCCAGAACAATCAGCTGGCAGAAACCAAATGCACAACATACTTCAAACCAAATGCTTCTCCCACACAACATCACAGTAAAGGACTGGTCTGTATTTCAGTTCATACAACTGGCGAGTCCACAGACAATAAAGCCATTTTCAGCAGAGAAATTTTATTTTATTTGCCATGATGCAAACTTTCCTCCAAATTAATTTGCCTCATGCAAATTCATCCATTATAAAAATAAATACAGAGGAAAAATTCGACTAGCGCACCACAGCACAGCTGCAGTGTTAAGGTGAATATCACAAAACCTGTCCATTTAATTGCGGGCAAAAACATTAGTGACTGTTAAGATTGTTTGCATTCTGACATTAATTTCATGAAAAATAAGCACATTTTCTAACACCTTTTTCTGATTACTATAACACTTTTTGTTTGGTAATAGAATGATTTTTTTTTAAATCAGCAAAAAATAAAACCAGTACAAAAATATAGCTATTTTTATAATATATATGTATATATATATATATATATATATATACATACACATACACATAATTTAATTTAATTGCAGTAACAAGAATATGTTTTTGTAACACCTTAATAAGAGTGTTACAAAAAATTTGCATTTTTTGCAAAAAACAAAACGTAGTGTTTCTTAAATTTGAGGTAAATATAAGCAGGATGGGTTATTGACAGGTTTTGTGAGATTTACTAATTAATATAAAACTGCAATATTTTTAGAACTTAACAAGTTCTTGCACAAAAAAAACTAACCATGGAGGGCTTTCAAAATCACAGCGTAATCCATCTTCTCGTGTGAACCTGTAAACAGAATAAAATTATAGTTTGTCCACAATAAAGAGATATCAATATTATCTTTTAAGCATTTTAATGCATGCTTATGATAAAACACAAAATCATACGACACTTTAACTCAACAGTTAAATCTACTGACATCCATTTTCCTCTCAATAAAGAGAGAAAGTGTCAAGAAAACTCACCTGTTATTTTCGTTCGGTTTATTTGGAGTTAAAGCAATAACAGCCTCATCCATTTCCATCTTGACTGAAATGTCAAATATCCCCAGAGTCTCTTGGGAAAACAACTTAATGCCTTATTGCAGAATGGGAGAGGACGCCGTCTCATTAACTAGCCTACCAAGAATAAATAACTGCCTGTGTCATAGGGAATCTATTCATAATGACATGAAGAGAGAGACACTCACTTCCCAGGAAATAGAATTTTAACATAAAAAAGTCATCAAAATGAAGCACAAATCTAGAATTAATGGGGGAAAAAAATGTAAACCACAATGTAATGTTTTTTTTTTTAACCTGGCCCTCTCTTGTCGCAACTGTTAGCAGAGATAATGCAATGAAAAAAAAGAAATTGCATTGCAAATATGAGAAAGTCACATCTGCACTTGATTTCTTTGTTTCACCTGTTTTAAGGTGTAAGGCATCTCAGCTGGAGGCCCCAGAATAATAATGTTCAATCAACTCGATTAAAATGAGGAAAACATTTGCATTACGTTGTTATTATGAAATCAAACGTTTTCAACAAAAAATCTGAAATAATTAATTTTTTTCCAGATTTTTTTTTTTTTTTAAATAGAGTACTAATAGAGTACTATGGATGGATGACGTTACAGAAAAAAAATGGCCTAAATCAGTTTCTAATGTGTCTGTGTCAGTCTGGATCTGGATACATCCAGTTATGGGCAATTAAAAAATTATCCTTCTAGTCCAGATGCAAATGTTCCATTTTAAATGTTTAAATAGATGCTTGAATTGAAATGTTTAAGAATTGTAATGCATTTACTCGTTTTATTTAACTACACTGAATAAGAAGCAAAATCCATAAGCAACACTAACATGCTGCATCCAAATTTACATAAAGCTGTTTTATCCTTAATGCAGTCATTCGCTTTGTTTGTTAAAGGAATAGTTCAACCAAAAATTACATTTGTTAAAACTTCTCCAAATCTGATGAAGAAACAAACTCATCTACATCTTTGATGGCCAGAGGGTGACTATATTTTCAGCACATTTTCAGTTTTGGGTGAAATATTCCTTTTAAAGAAAACATTTAGGCAAAAGCAAATGTTCACTCCCAGCTCAAATCATTGCTTGAGTGCAGCATTCTTTTTTTTGCCAGGTTTGAATCACTTCTGAGGTTTAAGAAACGCCCAGTCTGTTTCATGTCCATTGTGTAGTGCTGGGTTACACTTCTGCGGTGTAATAAATCTAATTTATGGCCTTGACTGAGACAACGTCATAAATATAATTAGGAAGATCAATATGAGGCAGCACTCCACCCACGACCCGCTCACAGCACTCACACAAACACATGCAGAATATACTAACCTTCTGTGTTTGTTTGCTATTTCTATGTACTGGAAGTACACCATAAGTATGGATTTTTTTGTTCAGGCTATTTAAGATGTTTTCCGTTTAAATTATTTGATTTGCATTCAGTGTGTGAATGCTGTTAGGCACAAAAGTGCCTGGCATGATTAAATAATTATGCAGAAGCATTCAATTTGCATTCAGCAATGTTCAACGCAAACTGAATGTACATTTCATGAGGCATCAGCTTTGCCTCTGAAGCTGAACAATGGAGCAATGTTGGAATTTCATTTATACTATTATTTATAGCACCTTTATTTTCACTCTGAGATCATTAAAAGGTTTTATGTTCATTTCACGCAAACAAAGGCTCAACAGACACAAAGAATAAAATGAATTCAAACACTATAGTCACTCCAACTAGTAATATATATCTTTGCATTAGATAACAAAATATCAATCCAAGCCCCATTATCTCAAAAGACAATGCACAAGCATGCCTTTCAAGCAAAACATAAAAAAAAAGATTCTAATAAAAAAAACAATAAGAGTATGACAAATAAGAGTGTCCAAGATAAAGAAGAAAATAATCATTTTGTTCAGAACATTTTTATGTTCTTAGAAATGTACTCTTGTGTATTCATGTTGGTTTTATAAGGTTTTTTTCAAATAGAGTTAGAGATATTTATACTCACGCTCTCTCTCTCGCTCTCTCTATATATATATATATCTATATCGAGTAGAGATATTTAATGCCTGGTGTAATCAAGTAAAAACTAAAACCTTTTTTTAAGTACTTGTGATTGTCTTAAACATTATTTTCAAATACCATGTGACTTTGTTGCAGTATTGTTATTGTTGACTAAAACTATTAAACATATATTTTTTAAATTAATTGAAATAAAGCTAAATATAATAAAATATAAATATTAAAAAACTTAAACTTTAAAAAACGAGAATTAGAAATGTTGCCTTGTTGTAGCTAAATAGAAATATTAAAACGAAAGGACAAAACAAAAATTACTAAACTGTAAAGTAAAACAAGAAAACCTAAAATTATTTAAAAAGAGCTAAATAAATAGGAAATATTAATAAATACTATAATAAAAATAAATAAACAATACTACAATAACACAATTTTGTTGGTCATGCCAAACTTAGATTTTGTAGAGAAAAGTTTTCCAAATATTAAAGGGTTAGTTCACCCAAAAATGAAAATTAGCTTGTGTTCATATACACCTAGGATGCTTCGGGGGAGAGTAAAACACAAGCTAATTTTCATTTTTGGGTGAACTAACCCTTTAAGTGTAGCAGTTACATTTTTTTTCTAAGAAATAATAAAAGATTATGCCAATTAATATTTTTAATGAATAACTGTTTTAAATAAATTAATAGATGGGACGAGCCTGAGCATCGTGTAACTGCTCCAGCGACAGGCTACTACAACAAAAAAAATGACCAATTTGTTCAAAGTAACCGCAAAAAGGGGCTCAAAAAAAGTGACGTGTTGAGAAAATCTTGTGCAGGAATTATTTGCTGATGTCGCATGCGTGTAATATTGTGTTATCCAATGCAACGACATTCATAAATTTTAAGTGTGACTCAAGCACTTCTCATCACAGACTCCAGATAAGGCTCTTTACCTGTGTTGTCCACTCGAGTTTCTGTATTAAGTGCTTGTGCTGCTAGAAGATCCATCTCAGGGTTCACACCCATTGAAGCCTCTCCGTAAGACAAAGAAGACCTGGGATACTCGTCCCTGTGCAACACCCCCATAGCGTCAATCCTTCCCGAATGGGGCAAGGTCGCCACACCCTGACTGCAAGCTGGGTTCGAGTTCACCTGCATTTTGTTCTGGGTAACGTGGAAAGGCGCACGCAGGGGTTTGATCATGGACGAAGGGGAGCTGTCCAGCGGTGACGAGGACACCGCCATGGAGTCCCCATCTACTGAGCAAGGCTTCTGGGACATCGAAGACCTGGATGATGGTCTGTTCTGGACGCTGTGTTTGGGCGATTGCGTAATGCCTCCAGTAGAGTGGTTCCCATCCGAGCTGCTGGGCATCTGAGGGTTGGCCACACTGTAATAGTCTTCGCCTCTCTCTTGTTTGATTTTCTTCAACGCCGGGTCAGTGCTGTCCTCGGTTCCCGATCTTTTCCTGGGCGTGATATTTGAGGCGTGATTGAACTCGGAGTCGCCGTCTTCGTCGGTAGCCGAGGACTCGCAGACGATGTCGTACAGGTGGCTGTTGTACTCCTCGCCGTTGTCGTCCATCTCGGACGGTTCGCTGCAGTTGGAGATGTCGCAGGAGTCGTGGATCTGACTGGAATCGCCCTTGTTTTTCGCGGCGCTGCCGAGGAAGCGCTCTGAGGTATTCTGCATGACGGCGACCGCCTGGATCATGCTGTCTGTGTTGATGCTTCGGCTTTCTTGGTTGCGTTCTTTGTTTGTCTTTTTGCAGGTGGTGTTAAGGGGCCAGTGGTAGGCGTGCCCGGCGCTGCAGCCCCACAGGGCCGTGAGGGTCCCGTGAGAGCCCTCGTTTAACATGTGTTTGAGGTTGGGGATCAAGGTGCAGATTGTCCCGTGACTGTGGGCCCATTTCACCAGTTTAGCCAGGCTGTCAGAGGAAGTGTGCAAGCAATCCTCCATGTTGAGCCTCCTCCCCTGAGATGACAAAGTTTATTCGTTTTTCAGTACTTGTTTTTTGTGTATGATATATAGTTGAGGTCAAAAGTTTACATCCCCCTTTCAGAATCTGCAAAATGTTAATTATTTTAGCGAAATAAGAGGGATCATACAAAAAACATGTTGTTGTTTATTTAGTACTGACCTGAATGAGATATTTCACGTAAAAGATGCTTACATATAGTCCACAAGAGAAAATAAGTTGAATTAATAAAAATGACCCCGTTCAAAAGTTTACATATACTTGATTCTTAATACTGTGTTGTTACCTGAACAATCCAAAGCTGTGTTTTTTTTTTTGTTTAGCGATAGTTGTTCATGAGTCCCTTGTTTGTCCTGAGCAGTTAAACTGCCTGCTGTTCTTCAGAAAAATCCTTCAGTTCCCACAAATTCTTTGGCTTTCCAGCATTTTTGTGTATTTGAACCCTTTCCAACAATGACTATATGATTTTGAGAGCCAACTTTTCTTGCAGATTCTGAAAGGGGGTGCAAACTTTTGACCTCAACTGTACTTAGTCAGCATGAAATGACAGTTGCAACCAATTTTTTTAAGAACATTAAAATGCATTAAGAAAACAGATGGGATGAATTTGAATTTTTTTTCAATTCAACTTTTCAGTTTAATTTTTGAAATTGTTAGGCTGATAATATGATTAAAAAAGCTAAATGAAAGCATTTTCACAGGTAAAGACTTATAAACCATAGATTATGATATCAGTCTACTCATTTACAATAAAGTGCCGTGACATTATGGTATGATAAAATGATTAATCATTAATTTTTCAATACAAATGTTTTTTTTTCTTCTTATAATAAACTTAGTCATCATGAAATGGCAGCTGAAACCAATTTTACTTCCATAATGTTTACAATAACATCAAGATGCATTTAGAAAAAAAAAAGTTGATTTCTAATTTGAATGCTGATTTTAGGCAAAGGTTGGCATAAATTAGTATTTTTGTTAAATTTTAAATTCTAATTTTCACTTTTATCTTAAATTGTTAAGCTAATAGTTAGTGATAATTGTCATTAGTTGTCACAAAGAAAATGTAGTATATTTTTAAATGAAAAAACAGCAAAATAAAAGCATTTTCACTGGTGAACACTTGTGTATTTTATCCAATAGATTACTATACTTCTATTAGTGTAATTGGGTGGTCCCTTACAATAAAGTACTGTAACATTATGGTACAGCTTGATAAAATTAATTAATTTTTCAATATAAACTAAATTATATTAGTTGTCATATTACAATTTTTTTTTGTTTTTTCATTAAAAAAAGCATTTTCACTGGTGAACACTTGTGTATATCAACATTATTGTATCTATTAGACTATACCTTAATCTCAGTGTGATCGGCTACTCCTTTACAATAAAGTACTGTGAATAGAGTTTGGGTGTAACCCAGTGGTTGTTTTTGGTATAGTACCCAAAGAAACTCTCACAGGAACCACAAGTTTTGTGATATCAACTTCAAATTTGGAACATAAATCGGTTAGACATATGGCTTTCATTTTATAGCAATTTTAGAGTGCAACATATCTTATAAACTATTTATTTTATATAAAATAAAAACAATTCGTATACTACATTATCTTTATGGTAAACTTAAACTTTTATAACTTTTTTATACTTTTTTTTTTTTTTTTTAATGCTTTCACTTCAGCAATAATCTGATTTGTGTCTTCTTTAAAAAGAGACCAAGCTTAGGTCTGTACTCCAAAGCGTTCAGGAATTACAACCATGCTGTAACAAGCATTGATAAACAAGTGTTTTGTTTCCAGTGAATTTATACCCCCAAAGGGGTCACGTATCCTGGGGGATACAAACATTAAAATCAAATATAAGAGTCAAGTTTTGAAAAAAATAATGAAATTGTATTATTTGAGTCCCAATAAGATGGAAAATAGCATTAAATTAATTTTCTGATATCTCTTTATGGGTTTGCCCCTTTTAGGGTTAAATTCAACATTGAATGGCAGTTGCAACTCAGTTTATTTTCACTATGTAACATATTTAAAATAATAATAATAATTTCGTCCAGGACTTGATTTTACCAACAAAATAAGACCACCAGTGTGTCCTTAGTAAGCAAGTAAAAAAGCCTCAAATTTCTAAGCATCCAATTTAAAGTATTTTGATTTAATAAATAACAGGTCTAAATAAATCAAACAACTACTTCATAAAGGGGTTATGCTTCCAGTGACTGATGATTGGATGAAGGCAGATCTCTTGCAGTCAATTATAAGAATGGACAGAAGTTTAAGCGGACTAAATGACTGGAGAACTTTTTCAAGTGGGGAAGTGTTTCATTGGAATGATATTATAATAAAGTTGTATTTACAACACTGTTCCAGAACAGTTCAACCCAAATATTCAGATGTGTGCAGCACATTTTACGGAGGACGAGGACTGTTTCCTGAATCTGGGAGAGTAGCCTACAATGTGGTGTTCCGGTGAATTCAGTTCCCCTGTTTCCCCTTCAGCGCGTATGCTGACCACAGTCTATGATGCTGACAAATAATGTTGACTCACAGACTATCAGTACGTTTTTATATTTAAAGAATTTGCCACTGACGATTCAAACGCGAGTTTTGAGCAGTGTAGAGTAGTGCTTG